CTAATTCATATAAAAAGAAAGAAAATAATTCGGTCACATTGAGAAAAGTACGTAAGTTTATTTATGTTAATTAATGAATTATTCCAATAGCCATCCTAAAATTTTTCTACCATTATGCATTAGAATTTGATTAATTTCATAATAATTAAACAACATTTATTTAGCAGTTGCCAATAAATAAACCTCTTCTATAATCAATATTTTCGTTTTTAATTTACATCATAAATATAAATTAAATAATATTCTAAAATAATATTGTTTTCAATTCTAATTTATAACACAATAATTTCTAAGTTCTAACCTAATAAAAAAATTGTATGAAAATTGAAAAGTACATGTGGGGATTTTGGTCATTTGGATCTGACGAGTCAAGTGAAGTCTGATTGAGTTATTCAGCCCAATTAGTAAGACTCTTTGAAAGGTTTGGCCCATTATCTTTGGGTAATCTTATTTCCATCCTCAAAATCCGGATTACAAAACCCCGCACTGCAACTGCACTTGCACAAAAGCTCACCCGCCCCAAGAGGGAGACACAGAATTTCGCCCTGCCGGAAATGCTTACTTACAGTGTATGTTGCTGGTATCTGTTCAATGTGGATAATTTTACAGCTGGAGTTTGATGTATACGGTTTGTACCTTTTGCAGTTCCATCAGTACCAGGTGGTGGAGAGAGCTCTGCCGGGGACGAAGGAGCGTCCAAAGATCTTCCAAATGAAGCTATGGGCAGAGCCTAAGTTCTGGTACGTTCCACTCACTCACTCGCTGCCTTTATATCTTTGTGTTTGCCTGCACACTTCATGTGTTGTTGAGTTGAGCTTATGTTTTTCGGAGATTTTCAAATCCAATTTTCTGTGGCAGAGTAAGGAAAACAGGATTATTCCTCTTGGTAAACTTTATTTGGTGCATGATTTTCTCTATATTTCATTTGATGTAAAAAGAGTAGTATATAATGACAACGAAATGTTTTATTTGCTGGAATTCCTTTGAAATGGCTATGCAGTGAGGGAAGGGAGAAATAAAAAAATTTAGATGATTGCTTGATGTGGAGGCATGTTGCTGGATGTTACTTCGTGTTCTTGTCATCAATAGATCAAAATTATATTTCTGCGGAAATTGGAATGAGTGTCCATCAGTATTATAAGTGCTACATAACTGGAGTTATTTGTTTGTTAGCCAACAAGTACAAAATTGTATGAGTTCCACTTCCCTCGTATATGCTAATGTTTTGTTTTTCTCTTTTTCTTCTTNGGCAATTTATTTAGTGTACAATCTTCTAGGTAATCATGTCTTGTTCTAGTCTATAAGAAGCACTCGTACCAATAATGTTTTTCTCAATCCTGCAACAGTTTCATTGTCAATTCCCCAGCTAGATTCTCCTGTGGTACCTCACTCCCCCAATTGACTCGCTTGAAGAGTTCTCCTATCACAATTGCTCAGGTTGTGGAGGATTTAACACCAGACTCTGTTTCCATTAATGGGAGTGAGACCTCCAGGCCTAAAGATATGCTTCCAAAACTCGACAAAAGTGGCAGATTTTGCAGCCCAAGAGCCGCCCGAGAACTTGCCTTGTATTGCTCTCTCTCTCACTCACACACACACACCCACACACACCCAGTGGCGCGCACATACACGTACACGAACAGACACACATCTTCATTCTTCTGTTTTGCCTGAAATTTGAGTTCCTATATGCAGGTTAATTCTATACGCAGCATGTTTAGATGGTTCTGACCCAGTTCGCCTTTTCGAGAAAAGGCTAAGTGCTAGAAGAGGTAATTCCATTATTTTTGTCATTATTTCTCATTATCCTGTCTTTATATATTTTGTGTTGCAGCAGTCTTTGCTGTTCTGTGCATCTGTTAGTTTTTCTTCTGCTACTTCTTGAGAATGAAATGTTTGTCATGTTCTTTTGATTCCTTTCAGAACCTGGCTATGAGTTTGACAAGGTGTTGTTGATGGAATACGACCACATGAGCTTTGGAGGGCCTCCGGTTACCACCGAAACAGCTGAAGAAGCTGATGATATTTTGCAAAATGATGAAAAGAAGTCTGACATTGGTAATTAGTGTCTATGCTATCAACATCCTGTGTGTGCCATGTACTTAGACTGGTAGAGTTGTTCTGGTTAGCATTTATAAACCTTTTATATTGGGGATATACCGAAGATCTGTTCTTGTGTGTGTAGTGTTGGGGGTTGGGTAGGACTAATGGGAAGGAGACCGGTGTGAGCAAGCTCAATCGATCGTTAGAAAAGAAAAAGAAAAAAAAAATCATGGGAATGGATGGGGAGTGAAGGTTTTTTGTGGATTACTTCCTCAATGGACCTTAAATGTTGAATCAAATTATAAGGTTTTCTTATATCCAGTAAAACAATCACAATTCGGATATCTAAGGAGGGCCAGTTCTGAGCCTTAAGAGCCTTTGGACATAGTAAGGTTAGTAATCATATCCACAGATCAATCGACTAGAACTTGGTTAATAGCAATATTCCATAATTGGAGCTAAGGGAACAAAGATGCTCAACATTCATTAGTGTTTAAAGGCACTACGTGACCAGATGTCCAGATCTTTAGAGCTTAAACAACAATTCAAGGTTATATTAATTCATGATTTTATATTGCATTTTGTTTGTTTCTAGCGAATCAGTTTTCATCCATGCAAATCATGTTAAACTGTTTCAGTCTGAATGATGAATGTATATGCATACTATGCCATTAGGAAGCTACATGGTTTTCGGAGGGGGCACCTGCCCCCTCTATATAAATGGAAACAAAACTATCATATTTTTCGAGTTTGCTCCGTGTTGGTTATAGAATTTTCCCTGACCCCTCATTTTAAATCATGGCAAGATGTACTTTTACCCCTATTTTAGATCCATTGTCGGGCTACATTTGCCTTTGATAATTCATAATTTATTATTGTTCTATTATATATATGTACCATATATTTTTTTAAATTATTTATCATTGAGTATTTCCTTCCTCAAACTATATTTTTGGCTTCGTCCATGTCTGCCATAAATTGCACATATATTATGTCAGAAGTTGTGGTATAATTTTTTTCTGAGAGCAATAGTTAAGTATATAATTATCCTTCTCTCAGAAGCTGAGGTTCTTTCAGCACCTCCGAAGTTGGTATACAGCAAATTAATTCTGCGGTGAGTCACTAAATCATCAACTAAATTTAATCAATGCTGCATGTGACAAGTGCATTAAGTTTTATTAGTTTGCATGCGGTTGTGAATATCTTCATGTCTATCACAAAAGTTTATTGATGTATAAATATATTTTTATACTTTGCAGTTTTACACGAAAACTTTTGGTAGCAGTGACAGAGAAGTGGGACAATAATGTGCTTGCAATCGGTAAAGTTGCACCCAGTAATTGGAAGGTGTGGTTTCCACTCTTTGATATATAAATCTTTAGGCTATGCTTGGATTGAGGGGTTTGAAATCTCTTTATTTCGAATCCTTTGCAATTTAAATTTGCCACTTTCAAACTCCTTGAATGGATTTGTGGAAAGGATTATAAATCCATTGTCTAACTCGCATCGATGGTGTTGGCTCGCGGTGGTGATGAATCTAAGTGAAGATTCATAGACGGTGTTTGAGGAGTCAATTTAAATCCTTCAAAATAATGAGTAAAGTCTATATTGCTTGAATTTGAAATCTTTCAACTTCTATTATCATCCAAACATGTATGAGTATTTGAACTCAATAAATCCCTCTATCCATACACAACCTTAGTGTATTTGTAATTTCTATCTGGCTATTTGCTGAAGAGAACTATGCACATAAGTAGCACCATAGTTATTAAAGGTGTATGGCAAGCTGTGGCGATTTTTTAATGGCCTGGCCTCAAGGTGCCAGGTGAGGCCATGGTGCCGCCTTGTGAACATGACACAGCCGTTAGGGAAACAGTAGAAAGTAAATGAACAATACATAATTAAGTGCATATTGCAGATTAACACTCTTCCAAACAAAGAGGAATATTTCTGTTCATCAGAAAATATGATTCTGTGAATCTTTGAAAAGGAACAATTAGCTGCGTTTGTGTGTGCACGCATGTCATCTGTTGAAGTATCAAATCTTGGCACCATTATGGTGCCCTTGATAATTTGGTCTGGTAATTAAATATTATTTCAGCCTTTAATTCTTGTACAAGCTATATTTAAATTGTAAAATGAGTATCTTAATTGTAAATTTCTAGGATTATACTGGTGATAGAATATTGTTCAACTATCCACTGTGACAACTTTGAGAAAATATTAAAAAAAAAAGTTAAATTCTATTGTGATTAATATTTGAATTGGAATATACATCTTCAATAGTTGAGAAAGAGCTGCATTATTCCGAATATATGAATTCAGTATGTTTAAGGCTAACTTGTTATTCTGTTACTATCTATTAAATTCTTTGTACAAAGAAGTGTTTTAATGAAGAAATTTAAATGTTAGTATAATAGTTATATATCAATGCAGCCCTGATAGAACATTATGTTTTTGGAGCTAGTCATGGTTCTGTTTCTTATATTTTGGACTTAGTTAAAAATATGCTGTAGTTGTCTAGTCTTTTGAATCATGATGAACTCTGTATTGCGATGCCTTTCTTGTTCTGTTGTGTTGTACCAGAACCAGCCAGCTGCTCGAATCCTGGAGTTTTCAGTTCTTCACTTAGCAATGTCAGAAATTGCAGTTCTTGGTACAAGGCATCAAATAGTAATTAATGAGGTTGGTTAGTCCTAGTTTTCAATCTTTCAAATAAACAGCTATTAAGGTCATAATTATTGTTTGTTGTTGATGAGTAATGTTTTCTCCATCAGAACATCAGCATGTTTGAGAATTTTACAAATTCTATTTATATTTAGGAGTAATACTTATTTCTGCTAATGTATTGATATACACCATGAAATCACTTTGTCACACTCCACGCAGATCTGTGTGTGTGGGCATATTTTTCTCTTTGTGATATGAGGAATGACGTGTTGGAGTCGATGGGTGGCATGCCTTTTAGGGCTCTCCTCTCTTTGTTACTGATGTACCTCTTTCTTTCTTTGTAGGCTGTTGACCTTGCAAAGCGTTTTTGTGATGGGGCAGCGCCTCGTATTATCAATGGTTGTTTGCGGACTTTTGTGAAAGAGCTCAACCAAAATGGTGAGACCGAAAACGTGAAAATCGCACACACTGCATGAGTGTTGGTTGGTTTCCAGCAATCTTTACATCCATAGAGGTGAAGCTATGCATGTAAATGCTACACTTGTGGAGAGGCTATAATGATACAATGTGCTTTGAGGAGATGAACCTTGGCCTATGAGTTGGTCGGCTCTTGGACTGCTCATAGAGCCAGTTGTTACATCCAATCCTTTTACCAATTCCTGCTCCTCCAGATCGTTCGTTCTATGTGTTATAATGAGCGGATGTGTTTGTAAATCCATCACATTGTGAGAATTATGTTTTTGACACTCTCTTGTATGTTGTCCTCCACTGTGGATATAATTTATTTTGATAATCATGAAGTTTAAATGAGAAGTTTAAAGTTCCTCAACGGCGCAAGTGTTGGTTCAGTTGCGCATCTTTTAGTCTCTTGAATATTAATCTCGAGTAAAAGTTGATACAGGTCATGAAGAGGATATATTTTTGAGTAATGTTATAGGTACATAATAATGTACCTATAACACTCTCATTGAGTGGGTCATATATCAAAAAAAAAAATATTAAGTGAACTCCACCCCATGTGGACGGTTGAGTGGGACAATTTATTTAGTGCTTTAATTGTATTGAAAACCACAACTTAAACGTTTTACATTATGAATTCAATCAACAACTTTTTCTTTTTTAGTTGGCAAACTAGTATTTTTTATTCATTTATTTATGGAAATTCAAATCTTTTTTTTTTTTTTTNTTTCCAATGAAAACTTAAGAAATAGGGAGTACAACCAAGTAATCAAATGATTACAGTTATGAAGAAATCTCGCAAACACCAGCAAAGATTTCTCCAATCCGGGGATCTAACAACCAATCTCCCTCCGCAACCACTTTGGCTAAACACCTGGTAACAGTATAAGCATACATATCAAACACAACACAAACAGAAAGACTTAAGCAAATGCACAATATCCTCCAATACAATTGAACCAAGCAATTGAACAAAGTTTCTTTATACAACATAAGCACCATCCTCTGATCTTCCAAGCAGCATTGTAGTCTTATTCTCCTTAGCGTTATGCAGAGCCCAACGAGCAGCAAACAACATAGCGTCCTCAGACTTGCCATCAAAGTCTTGTCCCTTTCCCCAGTTCAGATTATTCTCTAACAAGAACTTCATAATGCCTCTCAAACCCAACTTTCTTGTTCTTGAAGAATGAGCATTGACAGCAAGCAAATGTTGACATACTCTCCTGGAAAATTCTTCATCCAAAGGTTTTCTACCCAACCCTTTCTTCTTATGTTTCAATGTGCCCGACAAAAATTCTAGCCATTCATCTCTAGCCCCTTTTACTATCTCAACAACCCAAACAGACCTAAGCACCTAAGAGTTTCTAGTCTTTCAGAGCCACCATAACAAGTAGGTTAAAAGACTGATCCTATCTCTAAGACAACACCCAACTCCTACACTACAAACCTCCTTGAAAGTAACCCTCATATGCCCCGGTCTATTCCAACTAATCCCCAAGAGTTTTCAACAAGTGACAGCTCTTGGACATCTTAAAAATATATGATCCAGATCTTCCTCTTCTGCCCCACAAACATCACACCACTTATCGACTTCAATTCTCTTTCTTTGAAGTTGTTTATGCTCAGAAAGCCAAACTAATTTCTCCAGAAAAAGTTTTTAACTTTATTTTTAATAGGCAGTTCCAGGATGCATTCCACATCTTTTTATTGCAATCTCGATAGTTAATAGAACCTGATGAATCCCTGGACTTCAACATATTAGCAACAAGCATATCATAGAAAACTTTGACTGAAAAAACCCCCTTCTCACTCCCATGCCACACTAATCTATCCTCAGCCCCAACAGACTAATAGGAATCTTCAAAATGGCATCTGCCTCTGCAAGGTTGAAGGTTAGGTCAATTAGATCCTTATCCCACTCTCTCTCTCCTCCAGCCTAATCAACTCCCAGACCCTGTTGATCCTATCCCTATCCCACCATAAATGACTAGAAGGTTTAAAAGAAGGCACATTGGGGATCCAAAGGGAATCCCAATTATGAATAGAACTCTCATACCCTACCTGATATCTAGCTCCCAAATGAAAAGTCACTCTGGCTTCCAAACAATCCAAAGCCAAGAGTCAGAATTCTTAGAGCATGTTTGTTTGCCAGGACAGGATAATTGAAATCTTGTATGGAGTGACAAGATTGTACTGTATAGACAAACATGAAACTTTGTTTGGTATCAATGATGATTCCTAAGATAGGATTTCAAAAAAATCATGAGTCTATGTTTGATTGACAAGACTATGTTTAGGATAAGAAATGAATTGACCAAATTGCCCTATTGTTTTTCTTTCCAAACTAGATACAAAATTAAAAAATCCTTTGCTGTTTTTCACAATAATAATAAAAAAAAAACCAGTGGGACAAATTCATCTTCATTTCCCTTCTTTGCTTTTATTTTCTTTTTTCAAAATAAAATAATGGTCTGCAATTGACCAAGCAAAACGGCGGAATTATTTTGGGTTGGCGAGGCTCATGATCGTTCGCGGGAATTAGAGTTGTGCAGTCGGCAAACGGCTATTTAATCTAGAAATCAATCGTTTCATAAATCCCCTAACGAAGTTATTTTAATCTTCGACCGGTGAATTTGAATTTTTCGCCAAATATTATTGAGATGGGGAAGGCAAATATATACCTGGTACGCGAACGGGATTACGAAATTAGGAAAGACGAGCAGTGGTGCTTGATTCTTTTGTGTAAGCAATTAAGTTCAGGCTTTTGTGAGATTTTAGGCAAATGGTTGCAAGTGTAAATTAACACAATGGCAGGGTTAACTTGGGGGAAAAAATTTAGTTTTGGGGCTAGTTTTGTCATTTGCAAAGGTAACTACTGTACAGATTTTTTCAATCTAGGCATCCTTCCCGCGACCAATTAATCGCCTTAAGCCAAGATTCCCCAAGTTTTAATCGCGGGTTGGGCATAATCGGCGGGCCCTAATCTTAGCGAACAAACACTACTTTTGGGTGGATAAATGAGTTAATCTTATCTAATCTACCATAACAAATGAGCCCTTAGTCTTAATTTAAAAAAAAAATAATAATCTTTCCAGAAATACCTACCCTTCAAAAGTCTACTCACTAGTAACTTGGACTGAGTGATCATTCTCCATAATTGTTTAACTACGAGAGCTTCATTAAAATTCCTCAAAATCCTAAAGCCCATACGGCATACCCCCACTCTCCTTAAATAAAGCTAGTTTATCCTATCCTACCCAATGGATCGTATTTTTCCCAACCACATTCTCACTCCGTTATTTTAAATTAAATTAATATTTTATAATATGTTAATATAAATCAATTTCTATTGCTTCAAAAGATATTTCGTATATTTTTTTATCTTTTATTATAGATTGATAAATCAATTTTAAATTTATTAATAAGGATTTATATCATTGTTTTGTATTTTATATATGTAATATAAATGTCAAATCGAAAATCGTTAAAAGATAATGAATTTTATATATCATATATAAAAAGCAAAATACAAAAAAAAAGTTATAAAAGTTAAAAAATAAGAAGAAAACCATTTATAATAATTGGTGTATGAATTAAACAAAGAAAATAAAATGTAATAAATGGTATTGTAAGAAAATGAAACATTAAAGTGTTTATGGTAACTGATTGTATAAGAAAAGAAGAAATTGATCAATCACACACTTAATGTGAATAATATAACTATTTAATGCAATCCAAACCTAATAATTCAAGCTTAATTATTATTTTATAAAAAAATATTAATTTATATCCAAGCCTAACTATGAAACATAATTTTTTGTCAAATAAGATTTTGAAACGTGTAAGTCTACCACTTACACTCAACGACAATTATATATACTGATAGTGATGATTTATGCTGAAAAAAGTAATTTTTTCAACTCATTTACTATTCACTTCCCCCTATTACTAAC